GGGCACAGCAATGAACTGGAGGGAAAATCAGCCCATCTACCAGCAGAAAGGCTGCCTTAACGACCCCTGAGCCCACAGCTAACACTGTGCTCGGCCCTGTCCATCAGAAGGCACAGGACATGGCCCCAAACCACAGTGCGCAGGCACCAGCCTCAGGACCTCCAGGGCCCCAGACCTGCCCACCAGCAAGCCTGCTTTAGGCTCAAGACCAGCTTCACTCACTAGTGGGTGGACATCACCCCCGGGAAACTGTGGCCCTGTAGTCTACAATGGCAGCACCCAGCTCACCCAGCAGCAGGCCAGCACCAGCTCTAAGACACTTGGGGCAGCTCAACAAGCACCGTCACCACCTGGACAACACAAGCTTTGGGACACCACAGACAGCACCGCCATCTGTGCCGGGGACCAGCTCCAACCACCAGTGGTCAGACACCAGTTCTGGGACCCAGGGGCCCTGTAGCCAGACTCCAGGGCCCAGCTTTGCCTGACAGTGGGATGGCACTAATGCAGGACCTGGCTTTACCCACCAGTGGGCAGGCACAGCCCTGGGATCTCCTGGACCCTGACTCCACCCACCAGTTGGCCAACACTAGCCCCAGGACTCCCTAAGTTTCCACAGCCAGCTGCCTTATGACCCAGCGCCAGCAACCTCCAAACAAGGGAGGATCTGGCAGCCAACTGGCCCACAGGCCAGCCACAACTGTGAGACCACTCACAGCCACAGCCCACCACCACAGGAGGGCCCATGAAGCCCACACGGAGGGCACCCCTAGAGCATATCTCTCTAGTGGTCAGGGTGGAGTGTGCTGCTGGGACAGACAGGATATCTCTTGCAAAAGGACACCTCTACAAGTTCGGGAAACATAACCAACATACCAGGTACGTAGAAATGAAAATAGCAAATTAGGCTAAACAAGGTGACAGAGGAGCATGTTTCAAAGAAGCAACAAGATGAAAACCCCAGAAGAACTAAGCAAAATGGAGACAGGCAATTTACCTGAGAAAGAGCTCAAGGTAATAATAATAAACATGATCAAAGAACTGGAGAGAAGAATGGACGAACAGAGAGAAAAGTTGGAAGGTCTTCACCAAGAGTTAGACATAAGGAGAATGACCAAACAGATGAAAAATACAGTAACTGAAAAATACACGAAGGGGAATCAACAGTAGACTAAATGATTCAGAGACCCTAATCAAGGAGGTGGAAGACAGAATAGTGGAAATCACTGAAGCTGAACATTAAAAAAAGAGAGAATAAAAAGAAGTGAGGACAGATTAAGATACCTCTGAGAAAACACCAAGCACACTAACATTCGTATTGCAGGAGTCCCGGAAAGGGAAGAAAGAGAAATGGCAGAGAGAATCCTTGAATACACAATAGCTAAAAAATTCCCTAACGTGGGGGAGGAAAAGGACATCCAGCTCCAGGAAGCAGAGAGTCCCAAAGAAGATCAGCCGAAACAGGACCACATCAAGACACATTGTGATTAAAATGGAAAGAATTAATGACAAATAGAGCAGCAAGAGAAAAGCAGCTAGTCATGTACACGGGAACTCCTGTAAGAGGGTCCGCTGACTTTTCAGCAGAAACTTCATGGGCCAGAAGGATGTGGGGCAATATATTTTGAATGATAATAGGGAAAAACCTACAAACAAGAATATGCTACCCAGCACGGCTCTCAGCCATATTTGATGGAGAGTCAAAGGTTTTACAGACGAGTAAAAGGTAAAAGATTTCAGCACCACCAAACCAGCTTTAGAAGAAAGGTTAAAGGATTTGCTCTAAGTGAAAAAGAAAAGACCACAACTAGAAACATTCAAATCACAAAAGGACAAAGTTCATCAGTGAAGACAAATATACAGTAAAGGGAGCAAAACAGCTGTGTTCAAAGCTGGTAAAAAAGATTAGAAGACAAAAGTAGAGAAGTCATCTATATACACAATAAGCAGTTGAGATGCACCGAGGATTTCAAAAACAGTGATTATGAGGGAGGGAGATAAAAATGCAGGGTTGTC